TGTGCCAACTACTTCAGTCAACAGGAAAAGGTTGTTATAATGGAGAGCTATGAAAAATATAAAATATTTTGGCAAAAGCTCTCTTACTGTAAATGTATGCAAGTGTATAATTTGTATATGGTTATTGAGCACTTCCTCTCAGTTCACAGAAAGTTGCCTAAATCACTGATTTAAATGTTTTACGTTTTACTTAAGGAATTCTGACTGGCAACACCATCCTATATAATTTTCTTGAATACTGAGTGAGTTTTTTCAGTGTCTAGCATAGTGATGTGTTTATAGCATGCCACTAAAAATTCTGTTTAATAATGATGACTTTTTTGTCTTTATGGAACCCAGAGGCGAAGAGCTTTGCATCAAAGGTAAGACCATGAAATTGTTTTTTTTTTTTTTTTTTGCTTTAATTGATAATAAGCAACAGTCATGAATAAAAGTTTCCATACATTTGTAAAGTTTCCTTACATTTGTAAAGACCATGATATGCCTGTCTTGAGTTCCCAATAATTCTTTAACTAAATTTTCGATGATGGAATCATTGAAACCCATGTGTCTTCAGAAAACAGTCATGCATTTTGTTTCTTTTATAGATTCATTAAAGGTCTTCTGGAAATGTAACAAAATGTGTGGGGTCAAAAAAATAAATGCTAATATTAGGTTAAATGTCGTTTAAACTAATATTAAGCCAGGACTTTACGGAGACAAGTCTAAACTCTTAAATGTGGCCTAGTTTACTATTTGTTTGACTACTATTTCTTTACTATTTGTGGTTTGTGTTTGGGGTCATTGTCTTGTTGGAACACCCAACTGTGTAAATAAAGCCAACCTTGTGGCTGATGTTTTCTGGTTTTCCTAAAGAATTTGGAGGCTATCTTCCGTCTTCATTATTCCATTTCCTTTGTGTAAGACGTCATTTCCACTGGCACCAAGACATTATACTTCCACCACCGTGCTTGATGGTAGGTTTGCTGCACTTGGGGTTAAAGGCCTCACCTTCCCTCCTCCACACATATTTCATGTCATTGTCAAACTCACTTGACTGTGGACCTACTTTTTTGGTGCTTCTTGATTGACTCTTGATCATCCTGACCAATTGTCTGTCAGCAGCATGTGACAGGTTGTGTTTTCTTCTGATGGTGGTAGTGACACAACTGTACCATGCACTTCATACCTAAAGATGATTTTGGGTTCTGTAGCTGCTTTGAAATGGCTCCAAGTGACTTTCTTGACATGTTCAAGTTAATGATTTGCACTTTCATATCTTTTCTGAGCTCGTCAGACTTTCCCACTCTTGTGTTTGTGGCTGAGACTAATGTGTGTATCAAATGGGCCTTAATTAAATAGACTCAGATGAGTCACTTGCTGTAGTCAATCGTAGTCACACATGAGAAGGTAAGAGGCCATGCCACTCAGAAAATTTGATTAACACAACTATCTTCATCATCAAAACTGCTAATTCATGTGCTGTGTGTATATTTTTGACCTTGCAGATTTTGTCATACTTCCAGAAGACCTGTAATTAATAATAGTGCTAACAACTGATCCACCGTGCAGCCTATCCTGTTGCAATATAACTAAAATATTCAGTGATGGTATCATCTTACAATAATTATGTATTTTTTCTCATTATTATATGCATTTATTTTCTAATTATATTTCAAATATAACAAAAAACAAAGGTTAGATAGACGACATGAACTCTCTTCATTTTGCAGATGAATTCCATTCATTCTGGATTTTGGATGCATCTTCTGGGTACTCATCTGTCACAGATTTTTGTTCTGTTGTGTTACTTTCTGGCTCCTCTGTGCT